CTCCAAGAAACCCTACGAAGTCCTGCAAAACCCTATAAAAACCCTAAAAACCCTATAAGGCCCTGTAGATTCCTATAAAACCCTATAAAGTGAAACCCCATAAAGCCCTCTAAACCCCTGTAAGCCCGGCCTATGCAACCCTAGACACCCAATAAACCCTGCAAAGCCTGTAAACCCTACCAGTGTGTACCCTATAAACTCTAGAAAGCCCTATGAACCCTGCAAAATCTACAAACAAGATAAAGACCGAAAACCCTACGAGAGAAGTTCAAACGAATCGTGAAAATTTCAAAATGGTGGCCCTGCCACCTCTTCCCCCCCATCCGCCTCACAACTTCGTGGCAAAAGTTGGTGGGGCCAATATTTTCGCTGCCCCGAGAACGTCTTGCATGTGTTCGCAGATAAAATCTGCTGGGCTGAGATGCTGATGATGCTTGAAGAGGAAAGGGGGGAGGGGTTGTATTCTTGTATAGATTGTGGGCCGGGATGTGTTACGGAACTAAACCCTAAACCCTAAACCCCTAAACACTTTCTGCGTCTTCCTTACATAACGGAATGTACTTTAGACTATGATGATCATGAGTATCTCAGCTATCTCCCGAAACCCTAAACCCTAAACCCTAAACCCTAAACCCTAAACCCCAAACAAATCATGACTCAAGAAACCTTCCGCAAGACGGTGCACTCAACCCGCAACGGCGGAACAGGGCTGGGCTTCGGGCCGTCCGCTCCATACGGGGTCAGCCAACACTCCTCTGCACTTGCATGGGTTTAGGGCTGAGGGTTTAGGGTTTAGGGCTTAGAGTTTAGGGTTTGGGGCTCAGGGTTTGGGATTTGGAGTTTCGTTAGGCTTTGGGGTTTAGGGGTTCAGGGTTCAGGGTTTGGGGTTGAGGGTTTGGGGGGTTCAGTGTTTAGGGTTGCACGCCCTTTTCCGGGGAAAGCGGGGGAGGGGGGGGGGGCAGGGGGGCTAACACCAAACTTCTTTGCCTGCATCACGATCCCAGGTCCGCGCCTGCTCGTTGTTCCCACAAACGACTGGGCAGGGGCTCATCTTCGATTGGCACCAGCTGTAGCCTGGCAGAAAGCGGAGGGCTTGACTAGGGTTTGTTTAAAGCTTAGGGTTTAGGTTTAGGTTTAGGGTTTAGGGTTTAGGGTTTAGGGTTTAGGGTTTAGGGTTTAGGGTTTAGAGGGTTTAGGGTTTAGAGAGTTCAGGGTTTAGGGTTTAGGGTTTAGGGGTTTAGGGTTTAGGGTTTAGGGTTTGGGGTTTAGGGTTTAGGGCTTAGGGCTTATGGCTCAGGGTTTAGGGTTTAGGGCTTAGGGTTTCGGGTTTGGGGTTTAGGGTTCAGGGTATAGGGTTTAGGGTTTAGGGTTTACGAAGGGGGCTTAAGAGCTTCCAAAGTCGGGCCAAAGTCGGGCCGAGGAGTTCGCAAAGTGTTGAGCTTAGGAATGTAGCTCTGGCCCTGTCACTTCCCCCAGAATCTCTGCAGTTTAGGGTTTAGGGTTTAGGGTTTAGGGTTTAGGGTTTGGGGTTTAGGGTTTAGGGTTTAGGGTTTAGCCAACAGGTCTCGCCCGACCGGCGGCATCGTAGTATCTAAGCACTTCCTGAGCAGTACTCTGCTATCGTAATTGCAGCCCATAGCTGCAGCCGCTTCGCCACCTTCAGTTTCGGGACCAGAAGGGAAGGTCGTCAACACATGAACCCGATCAAGCTCCAGCTTCTGCATGGCCAACTGTCCAACGGCTGCCCGTCCAGCAGAAGCGCAACTCTGGCGAAACAAGAAGACGAGTTCCAAACCCTAAGCCCCTAACCCCTAAAACGCCCTAACCCCTAAAGTAAGGGGGAGGTTTTAATTTAAAACCCGAAAACCCTAAACCAGAAAGCAAAAACCCAAACCCCCAAAAGAGGTGTAGTCCAAAAAGCCAGGAGCCCGAACCACTGCAAAGCCCAAACCCCGAAAAAGGGGGAGGTGGAGATGGAAGCCTTTTGTAACCCAGCCCCAGAAACCCTAAGACCCTAACCTCCCCAAATCCCTCAAAGGGCGAGGCAGCATTTGAACCGCTTAAAACCCCAAACCCTAAACGTCCCAACCCCACGAAGAAGGAGGTGGAGTTCGAAATAAGCAAAACCCTACCGACTTTGAGATTCCCGGAAGCCCCCAAACCATAGGCCATCTTCCGCATCCCACAACTCAAGCGCCCCAACTTTATATGTATCTATGTGTGTCTATTTGTTTGTTTGTTTGTCTATTTATGTACGTATATATGTGGCAATACCACTAATGCAAGATGGCCCTGCGCCCCAAGCTGTACATCCTAAGCCCTAAAGCCTAGATAAACTCCAAACCAACACCCAGATGGCCACCCACATGCCAGGGAGCACCCCACTGATCGGTGCACTTGTTTTCGAACCTCGAGGGATCTTTGGTTTAGGGGGTTTAGGCTTAGGGTAGTACTACGGGCTTAGGGTCTAGGATTTAGGGTTTAGGGCTGAATGAATTTGGGGGTTTGGGGTTTTTCTTTGGTTGCTCAGGGGGCTATAGGGGGTTTAGGGACTTAGGGTCTAGGATCTAGGGGGTACGTTGGGTCTCGGGTTTCGAGATTGTTGGGGTTTTCATGCCTGAAAGGCATGAAAACGTTTGGGGTTTGGGGTTTGGGTTTCAGGATTCAGGGTTTGGGGGCGTGGGGGTGGGTTTTGGCTTCAGGGGGTTTTCGGGTTCAGGGTTTGAGGTTTACGGTTCATAGGGAGTGGCGGGGTTTTGGGGTCAACCGGGCCTACAGGGTTTACAGGGCTTAGACTGAGGATTTAGAGGGTTTATAGGACTTATAGGGTTTGGTCTTTGGGGTCTCGGCCAGTTTGGTGTCAAAGTGGTGTTTCGGGTTGAGAGAAGCTGCGAGCTTAGCACAGCTTGACCCAGGAGTGGTGCTGTCAAGATTGGGGAGGGTTAGGTTTAGGGTTTAGGGTTTAGGGTTTAGGGTTTAGGGTTTAGGGTTTAGGGTTTAGGGTTTAGGGTTTAGGGTTTAGGGTTTAGGGTTTAGGGTTTAGGGTTTAGGGTTTAGGGCTTAGGGTTTAGGGTTTAGGGTTTAGGGTTTAGGGTTTAGGGTTTAGGGTTTATAGAAATTGTATAGGGTTTGGGGTTGGGTGGCGTGGTGTCGCTTCGGGTTTGGGGTCGAGGGTTGAGCGCCTGGGGTTCGGAGCTACTATCGCAACTTTGAACCTTGATGATGTACGCCCTGAGAGACAGAACAAAAGTTGCAGAGCAGGGTCCCTTGTGTTTAGGGTTTCGGGTTTGGAGTTTGGGGCTTAGGGTTTAGAGCTTAGCTAAGGTGCATTCCCTATATTGATTGGGGGGGGGTTGCGCTCTCCGGGATGTAAGCAACAAAGCCCCTCTCGTCAGGACTTATCTCCTAAACACCAAGACCTGAACAACCCTAAGCCCTAAACCCCAAACCCCCGAGACGCCAGCGAACTCTGAACCACTTGTGGGCCACAACTTTGGCCAGGGGGCTGAGTGTTGCAGGGGCAGCCAGTGGCCATAGGAGCGCAGAACTGCTGGTAGTCCTTGCATGACACGTACCAGTACGATAAAGATCACGGCGTGGGGTTGGGTTCAGGGTTCATGGTTTCGGGAAAGTGCACGATTAACATTGGCGTTGTTTGAAGGGTGGATGCCATGCAAGGATAGCCCGGAAAATGATCTACACCAAGTTACGAGACAAAGCTGGCCCACGATACACACTAAAGAAAAGCTCGGTGATTGTAGTATAAGACACCACGGAATTTCATGACGGCGGTGCGTGCGGAAGAATACCTTGATGCAAGAGTGCCGGACATGCCAACAGAGCGGTGGTTGAAGAAGCAAAAGCCACTACAAAAGCAAATGCATAGGCCAACAAAACGATGTTTACAAATACCTCGCTATTTCATGCGACCACGGTGCCGCCGGTGCCGCTTGTGTAGCCCGAGGAACGGAATATTTTGTCGGTTGGGCGGCTGGGATCCGCACTCTGCACGACGCTGTCTACGAAACCCTAGGCACATTCGCCCTGAAGAAAACCCTCTTCAACAAAGATTCCCAAACACGATCCTCTTAAACCCAAGAAGGCCCAAGGCCCACCGAGGTTTGCGATCCTCTTCAGCCCAAGAAGGGAAGAACATGAAGTAGTCCAGGGGGGTTTCCTAGATACGAACCAGCAAGTTCTCAGTCTGCGGCGGAATAGTTCTGATTCCCGAACCTGGGCTTGGGGCGGGGGGGGTTTAGGGTTTAGGGCTAGGGTTTAGGGCTAGGGTTTAGGGCTAGGGCTTAGGGTTGTTTTTTTGTGTGGAGGGTTGAGGGCTCAGGGCTTAGGAGTTGGGGAGAGGGGGAAGGGGGGTTCGCAATCTGGGAAAAGTCTATCCGGGAGAGTTGAGTCTTGGCTTAGAGTGCCGGGAGGGGCGGGTGTTTCATGGGCAGCGTTTAGGGTTTAGGGGTTAGGGTTTGGGTAGTCAGAAGCAGGGTGATGCATACGTGCATAATCGGGGGGGGGGGGGGGGGAGGTGAGGACCACAACGATATGCTACCGCAGCACCTACTTATGGCTACATGGCTACCTATCACCCCCTCAAGTCACATTAGGGTTTAGGGTGTAGGGTCTACCCCTACACCACGGATTTTCACGGGCTCAGGCAGGCTTTCACCCTCATGGCTTGGGTAGAGGGCTTGGGGGTCAAAAGCTGCGGCTGTACACCCCTTCTTCCCTTCGACGAACCGTCTCTTGGCAACATTGGTATGGCATTATGGTTTTGCTCTTGGACCTCAAGGTATTCGCGTTTATGGTTTAGGGTTTGGGGTTTAGGGTTTAGGGTTTCGGGTTTAGGGTTCAGGGTTCAGGGTTTAGGGTTTAGGGTTCAGGGTATCCATGTGCCCCGGCATGATGTCCAGAACCCCAAGAGCTCGGGGGCTGAAGATCTCAGGATGCAGAGGCCCTAAGCCCTGAACCCTAAACCCTAAACCCCTAAACCC